AGTTGAAAAATTCAGGAATGGGTGATTTTAGCACGAGAAATCCAAAAATCCATTTCGATCTGGGACAGTAACTTTTTCCTACAGGGGAGAAAACCAAGACCGACTGGAGACGGGCTCGCCGATATACTTACACATATTTTCAGCTTTCTCTTACACAATGTTGACCTACGAACCGGCAATCCCGTCTGCAGACGGTCAAAAATGCAAACTGGGTTTTTATATGTGGCCAAGCCGGTTTGTAGACGGTCTGTGTTCGAAAGCAATTTTATCCATTTCGAATGGTGACATAATTATAAAACTTATATTAAAATACGGTGCTTTTAACAACGAAATCACCGAATTTTTTTATATCAAAAAATTTCTCAAAAAAAACAAATTTCTTTAATTACGAAATTACTAAATAGCAACAAATAATTCATTTTAACCGTGTTTTCAAAATCTGTAATTCAACTGCCGATTAAAATAAAACGGATTCAAATTTACACCACCGTAAAGGTACGATTTTTGTCTAAAGATCGTGCCTTACGAATATAAAAAAAAAAATTATCATATTATTATGCACTAAAAAGGTGTTTAGTTAACGACCGTCAGGAGGCGGTCCAGCCTACTAGAGGGTTAAGGTTTTTAGCTGAAGGGGGCTGTCAGAATGGTACTGCCCAAGATTTTAATATTGGCATGGCACAATCCACAGTCTCTGTAGTACTCTCTGATTTACTAAACATCTGAGAAGCCACTTTATGTCCCAGATGGACTACTTTAGCAATGACAGACAATGAAAAACTTGAAGCGAAAAGATATTTTTTCGAAAAAACTAGAATTACTGGAATTGTCATGTGTGTAGACGGTACTCACATTAGAATTCTTAAACCAGCTGCCGGCAATGCACACCTTTATTATAATCGGAAAGGATATTACAGTGTTAATGCAATGATAGTAAGAACTAAATGAAATTGAACTTCTTCAATTTATTATTTATTTATATTCTTTTATTTTGCATTTTCAGATATGTGACCATAAGCATAAGAATAAGGTATGTGAACAGTAGGTATGCAGGTGCAAGTCGCGATTCTTTTATTTGGGAAAATAGTGATGCTTCCACCTACTTCCAAGCGCAGCATGAAAATGGAGACAGAAGCACAAGACTGCTAGGTACAAAAAATAACGAATAATCAAAGTGCTATTTTGACTGTAATGATCTTTCATAGGTGACTCTGGATATCCACTGTTACCCTGGCTTATAACACCCTTTCGAAGTGCAGACGTTGATAGTCCAGAAAGCAGATTTAATAAAAGCCATAGTAAAGGCCGTAATATTGTTGAACGGATCATAGGCGTTTGAAAGAATTGGTGCCGATGTCTCCTTTCTGCTCGCCAACTACACTATGCTCCTGAGAAAGTGGTTAAAATTGTAAACGTTGCGGCAGCACTTCACAACATTCGGATACATTATAATATTTCCGACGAATACCAAGAGGAAGTCTACGAACCCGATGAATATGTAGGCGAACCTTTACAACCTCAAGGATATACAAATGAAGCAACTCAAATTCGCAATGAGATGTTACGTAGCTTTTTGTAAAATAAAACTATTCATTATCACGAAATTCATTTTCATACATATTTCTTAATATTTAAGTAAAAAGCCTTCCTGGCAAAGTGTGCACAAAGTTGTCTACACACTAAGGATGTAGATAAAAATAAAATCATATCACTTCATTGATTTACATACACAGTATTTTCAAAATAACAGAAAAAAACTTAAATAATAAAGCCTTCCTGTTCAGCAAGTATTCAGGCACTAGTTATTAAAAAAAAATCCAATATAAGATAAAAACAAATCGCATAAAAAAATTGTCAGGTCCCACTTATTTTAAGAATTAAGGAGTCTGTTGACGTTATTTAACACAATATTTAAAAGTTCCCTTTTTAATCTTAATTTTTCTATAGCAGCCTTTTCCAACACAGCGTTGTCTTTTAATCTCTTCAAGAGTATTCTGAAGAATTTCATTATTTTTCTTTTTTTGGTCTCCTAGCCTCTCTACTGATCTATTCAGTCTTTTTAAATGGTTGAAAATATTCCTGTTGGTTCTCAACACCCTCAGACACTTTTCCGCATAGTCTTTCTTGAACCCCTATTTGCTTCTCTAATAAATCGAATTGCTCGGGTCTCTTTTTTCTTCTTTGGTTAGAAATATTTTGGTCATTCTCAATATTTACGTCTTCATGAGCTTCAATACCATCGTAATCTCTCCGAGTAGGTGGAGCAGTGTCCTCATATATTCTCTCCTGCGGTACATCTCTCGTAGCAGAAGCTCTCATCTGTGGAACATTTCTCGATGTAGATGGAGCTGCGTCATCATAATCTCTCCCCTGTGGCACTCCAAACTGTTTGGAGTTCCTAATATCACCAACGCAGTCATTAAGACCAGGGTGGGCAAAAACTCGGAGTTCGAGCGAGCGAGCGAGCAAACTCCTACTCAATGCCTCGCAGACAACGAGGCGCTCGCAGCTCGTACTCGTAGCAGCAATGAGGCGAGGCACGAGAAGTTTGCCTCGCTCGCCAAACGAGCGAGCGCTGCTTGTTTCCTCGCGCTCCTATTAAACGAGCGAGGCTGTTGTGTGTTGCCTCGCTCGCAGTACGAGGCGAGTAGCTGACTGCATACTCGCTCTGCTAGGTAAGACGAGTGAGCGAGGAGCGAGCGCTCCGAGTGCACTATACAACACATGCATTTTTGTGCATAAAAATGTGGGAATGTATGTCAATAGATTATGTACGAAAGTATGTTAATAATTGTATGTACATATGTACATATCCATATAAATATGTGAATATTATATCGAGCCCTAACCGCCAAAATAACGTAAGCGACATTTTTTTCAAAATTTTATTTTTGATGCAGAAACGTACCTAGATGCTCTAGGAATATTTCTGCATCAAAAAGAAAATTTTGAAAAAAATGTCGCTTACGTTATTTTGGCGGTTAGGGCTCGGTATTAGGGCAGCTTTTAAAACAACAAATAAAATTTATTACATACGTAAGCACAGATTATGGAATGAGATATTTTTTAGAGTTATATATGTACATACGTACATAACGTGCATATTTATATATGTATGTATGTATTTATGTATGTATGTACATATGCATGTATTTTGTCTTTACAGAGAAAAGTAAGTAACGAAGATAGTATAGATAATCGTTTGTGCCGCAGAAACAAAAAACAAGTAAGCACTTGTTAGCACCCCAAAATAGTTTGCTACTTGTAGCAGTTATGCTGTATACCTGAATGAAATATAATCCTTGGAGAAAAAATTTATTTGTGGCCTGTTGTTCAAGGACATATGTACATATGTATGTATGTATGTATGTATGGATATGTATTTGCGTAAACAAAGAATAGAGGCCGGTTCACATACAACTTTGGCGTTGCGTTGGCGTTGAATTTCAAAGCAGCCGTCCACCGTATATATGTACTTACCATTACGTTACTTCGTTTGCCTGCCTGAGTAAATTGTTTGCCTTTGATGTCTCGTTTTTTCCCCTTTGTCCACTCAGCTTTTACCTACTTCACATCGCCCCCGTTTGGTTTACCCGCTTTATATGCTCGCTCGTTTGCGTTTCCCGGATTTTCCCTACCCTCCGCCCATGGATGCTACCTAGTATGTATGCAGACATAGGCACCAAAATGGAAAAATATGAACATTCTACTTGAAATGTTTCCAAAATTATTAAAAAAACACAATTATGATATTTTTCGAGTGAAAATGATATATTTATGCTATAAAACTACACACCAAGCATTGCTCTACATATAAACGTGATTAAAAAGTTTAAAACTTTGTTGAAATTTTCAAATTTTTTTACAAAGTATGAAACTTGCTTGGACTTGTATGGTCTGTCTCTCATGTACACTTAGGTCTTTTTTATGCGGTAGATGCGTTCTTCAGAAAGCCGCATAAAAAAGTTCTTTAATTTCATACAAGAACAGGAGATGCGTTCCAGCATTTTCAAAACCCGCATAAATTCAGATACTTCAAAAAAAAAAAAAAAAACAATTTATTTCTTCACTTCTGTATTTTAACCAAAACAAAAAATATCATAAAAAATACATGAATTATGTAAGAAAAATTTAATGCAAAAAAGTAATAAAAACTCTCAATGAAGCAAAATCGATACAGCGAAAAAAATGTTTGAAAAACCTCATAAATTCAAATCCGCATAAAAAAGAACCACATAAAAAGAGACCTAAGTGTATAAGTTGAAATTTTATAAGCTATTGAAAATTAAAAAAACTATACCTACATATACTACGTTTATACGTAAGCTATTTGCAAATAAAAATAATTTGCAAATACCTAACTCACTGTTTATTCGATGGTGAAAAATTCTTTTTTAATATTGCCTGATTATAAAAAGGCAAAATATGACAATCGAAAAAGAAAATAAAGTTAAAAATGGCAACGTCTTGATTATAAAAAGGCAATAAGATGACAATCGAAAAAGAAAATAAACCTAAGAATGGCGGCGTCTTGCGCTTATTTGCAAATAGTAGCACTAATCAATACTTATTTGCGTGATTTAGTTATTTGCAAATAAAAAGTTAACTCAGCGTTTATACGGCAAATTTTACCATTTTGCAAATTGTTATTTGCGAATAATACGTGCGTATAAGTACATAGTAATATATATGTATGCACATATGAGCCTACCTAGTAGATAAAACTGGCAAAAATAGCACGCATCTATTCTTCTGTGCATGAAAATATATACATAAATAAATACATACATATGTGTATATATGTATGTATATACATATCTACATGTGTGCATACAATCGTTTGCTCTAAATTCTTAGTTGATGCAATTTTTATCCCATACATTTTTGCTGACCAAACAACCCGTTTGCCTGTCTAATCTGCTTGCCTCATTTCCCTCGCTCATTTACTCGCCTCGCTCGTCTGCTGCTGCAAATGAGTGCCTCGCTCGCAACGCCCCTCTCGCGAGGGCAGAGCTAATGAGGCCCTCGTTTGCTTTACGCTCTACTCTTGCGCCGCCCTCGTTTGCTGACTCGCTCGCTGGCTACTCATCGCGTGCGCTCGTACCTAACGAGTGCTCATTTGCAAACAGCCTCGCGTGTTCCTCGTGAGTTGCGCTAACTCAGAGCAAACTAACGAGCGAGCGAGGGGCCAAAATGAGGCAAATCCGAACCCTGATTAAGACACACAAGGGTAGCAACTTCTTCTTCCCTAGATGTTAAGGGAATCTCCCTATTTTCTCCTCCACCAGTCGCATGTAGCTCTCTTTTGTTATGCGCGAGCTTCTTCTTTATCGCCGATTTATAATCCGACCAAACCTGTGGTTCAAACTTAGTAAATAATATATTTTAGCTTTTCAACATTTCGCAAACCTTTTTCCATTCGGCAATGGTTTTTGATGGCGGTCCTCTCGCACACTTTCCTAAAATCTTTCTACCAAATCAGGTGCATTTTTAGTAAAATTTTTTACTATGTCCGGATGCTCCTTCATTTTGGAAACTAAACATTTAAATTGCTCCCTGGTCGTTGTATGCTTCCTAAAACACATACGTTTGTGTATTTCTTACAATATTACAATATTAAAGGGAAAATAATAGTGATTTTTCTTACATTTTATTGCTATCCATCTTATCGTTTTTAGTATCCGCAGCACAATGGCGCGTGAATGACAGATAGAGAAATTTGTACGAATCACGGATCGGAAGCGTTTTCAATGATGCCACTTTTTTATTTCATTCGTAAACTGCATTAACCTATTTTGACTCATTATCGAGCGCTTTCGATAATACCAAAATCTGTCAAAAGTGAGTAAAACTCCCTCCACCATAATAGGCATGAATATTCGAGCGTTCGCCACAATATTTATTGGTTAATTAAAAAACAAAAAATACTTAAAAAAGTTCTTAACCGGTCGATACTCTTTGGCATTCGCGATATTTACTCAGTACTTGGCAAAAAGTATCGAGTGCTCGATACTACTCAGTACTCAGGAAAAGTATCGATATTCTGTACTCGGTACTTGTATCGTTCTATCACTATTTAAGCGAAAAAATCGAAGTGAGCGGTTTATGGTCGGTAACTATTTTAAATTTTCTGCCGAATAGATGCGATCTGAAATATTTGGTAGCCCAAACTATCGCCAGCAGTTCTTTTTCTATGGAACTATAGTTTTGTTCCGACTTATTTAGGGTCCTGTTAGCAAAACAGATCGTTTTATCTGAACCAATTGGACCTTGCGACAGGACGGCCCCTAGGGTCACGTTACTAGCATCTGTTGTCAGGACCAATGGTTTTTCGAAGTTCGGATATTGAAGAATAGGCTCGTTGCAAAGGACATTTTTACATGTTTCAAAACAATGAAGAAAACGGGAGTCCAGTCGTATATTTTGATCTTTTCGCAGACACTGTCAAATCCTTAATAAATTTTCGGTAGTAACCGACTAGGCCGAGAAACGGTTTCAGTTGCTTGGGCGTTTTCGGAACCGGACAATTTTTGATAGCATTTATTTTCGCCGGATTTGGTTTTACACCACCGACAGTGACGATGTGGCCTAGAAATGATATTTCTTTACATATGTCCATTTGTAGTTTTAGGTTTGCTTCTTTAAGCTTAGAAAAAACAGATTTCAGATTTTCGAGATGTTCTAAAAACGATTATATCGTCCATATAGACGAAGCATATTTTGCCTATTAAGGGCGTGTGTGAATCGGTAGCAAAGTTCTATGGGGAAAGCTGTTGAATAATATTTTTACTATGGTGAGACAGTTTTGCCAATCTGCTGTGTGAAATGAAATCTTTTTTGACAGCAGTAAATTTTTCATAACCGCAGATTTATGCGCAATAAACTATTACAAATTGAGTGAAATTAATATTTTAAGAAAACATCTACCATCATTGATTGCAGTTCATCAACTTAACCTTTTATTTTACGAAAAATTACACACAGCAGCAATCTTTCCAATTGTCAAAATTTTCTATGCATTTGTCAAAAATTTCACTAGCCCTATGGGCTACTGAAATTTTATTCACCTCAAACTTGTCAAAAATTTACTTGCCGCGAACTTTGTTACCGATTCACACACGCTCTAAGTCACGTAGAATGTTGTCTATAACCCCTTGAATTGTGGCGGGCACATTTTTAAGACCAAATGGCAGTCTTATGAATTCATAGTGACCATGATCAACGGAAAACCCAGTTTTAGATATATTTTCTTTTTTTTTACTCAATTTGATAATACCCGGAAGCTAAGTCAAGGGTACTGAAGTACATACTTTTGCCAAGTTTATCGAGGATGTCGTTAATGTTTGGGAGAGGATATCGGTCATCTATGGTTTTTTGATTGAGCTTTCTGTAGTCAACGACCAACCTCCATTTTTGTTTCCCGCTTGCATCAACCTCCGATCCAAATGGGTGAAGACCAAGGCGAGTAACTTGGCTGTATTATTCCATATTCTAGCATTCTCGAAACCTCTCTTTGTATTTCAGCTCTATGCATTTCCGGATATCTATCAGCCCAATCCTAAATAATAAATCCAATAGGGTTTTCCCACTTTCCGTCATCCTACTATCATAAATAAATAAAAAATGCGGTTTTTTACACTTTCCTCTTTCCTTCGATTTTAAACAACTTCGAAAGTTTTCGAACATGAGAAGTAGGCATCCCGAATACAAATAAAATGCGGAAAATTGTGGTAAACCGCAAGAATTTATTCGCCAACAAATTGCAAACGAGCTTCAGTACAAGATGTAAGTATTTTAATAAAATAAATAAAAAATAATAGGCTAACCTTCTTTTTAGGTCGAAAACCACTAATTAAACTCAAA